GCGACTTGATCCTCCCTGGGTGCGGGCGCCGGCGCACATACCCACATTTATATACGCGTGCCTACATGCGTGGGCGTGGCGGGCAGCGCGGGAGCCGCCGGGGCGCCGGCAGCCCCCCCCCCCCCCCCCCCCCCCCCCCCCCGATCCCCGGCCACGGGGAGGCCCCATCGACACGTCAGCCCGGGCCGAGAGTGCACGGCGAAACAGCCCGCCCCCCCCCCCCCTATGCCCGGGGGCCCCTGCGCACCCGGCACCCCGAGCCGGATCGGTGGCTCAGCCCCAGGCCCAACGCGCGGACGCCTTCTGCCATGTAATCGCCCCAGACAGATGCTCCCACTTGCATGGCCGCGCCGGCCCTCACACCCACACACACACACACACACGCGCACACACATAGACCGCTCACTCATGGGCCGAAGATCAACTCCCTGCTGGCCGCGCGACTTAACCAGAACGCGCTGACTGCCCGTCCCCCCACCCCCCTCGCCCCTCTCGGCCGGGCCAGATAATCACCTCTACGCCCAGTACTATCTGTTGCCGGCGCGGCCAGGGCCCGCGCAGCCCCGAGCGCAGCCCCGAGTCCAAGATGGGGCCGCACGCTGTGCCGCAGGTCCGGCCCCGACGCCGGGAGCCAGGGGCCACACCTCCCGCGGAGCACGGCCCCGCCCCATCCAGCCCCATTGAGCTGGCTCATTAACACAGAGCACACATAAAACACACATTCGCACACACCCAAACCCACCCTAGACTCCGGCTGCTTCTTTCCCGCCTCTCGGCTGCCCTGCTGGCGAGCAGTCAAGACCCCGGTGGCGATGGCCACCGGGAGGGGGGAGGGGGGCATCCCCAGAGAGGCCCCCATTCCCGGTACTCAACCCAAACACCCGGCCTTGGTGGATATTGCCTGGGCCATGCCTCGCCGGGTGGGGGGTCCATCTGGCCATGGAGAGGGGCGCAGAGAGAAAGATATATATCCACATGCGTGCGGGCTCGCACCAGTGACCCTCGCATGCCGAGCCCTCAGACTCACCGCCTTTACGCCGGGCGTGTGCGGGCCAAACCCCGCGCCCGGCCACGAGAGCGCCCCGCGACGAGGCCCGGCAGTCGCGTACCACCAGATCTTCGCCCCCGCCCCTCCCACGGCCCCATGCACATATGCACATATGCACAGACGCCCCACACAATGCATTTGCAAATGGATCGATGTAACCATAGATATAGATATATATGCGTGTGCGTGTGTGTCGGTGTGTACACGCATGCACACAGAAGAGCAAACAGCGACCAGGCACGCGCAAGATCCATCCCAGGCATCAGGCGAGGGCGGAGACACCAAAGCCCACGCGAGGGGACGAGGGAAGAGGCCGAGCCGGCGGACGCGTGCTCCGCCGGAGCACGGCCGGCCCCCCCCCCTGCCTCCCAATCGACCCCCGAGGGCACACGGCCGCTCGCGCATCCGTGCGACGGTCAATCCTTCTTGAAGCGGGGGACAGGCACGCCGCTGAACCAATCGCGCACGCCACTGACACTGGAGACCACGCTTCCGCCGGCCGTGCGCCCGGCCGACGCCAGCCGCGTGAACCCCTGCACCAGCTCCTCGGCCAGCCGGTCCAGCTGGCCCGACCCCGGCCACGAGGGCAGCGCGCCCCGGCCACCAGCCAGCAGCCGATCGAGTGCCTGCGACCAGGGGGTCGTCCAGGCCGCCAGCCCGGCCAGCAGGCTCTGGGTGACGCGCGCTCGCACCAACACCCCGACCGACCGGCTCAGCGTGCGTCCCACCGCCGGCGCGGCCAGCTCCAACATCGACCGCCCGGCCAGCTGGGTGACCACCGTGGCCGACGCCGCCAGGGCCAGGCTCACATACAGCCGCGCCATCGGCGTCAGAACCACCCGCCCGGCCGGCGTCAGCTCCCCCAGCCGGGTCCGGTACACCAGCACCCAGGTTAGACGCTCGCCCAGGGTGGCAGGCTGACGCCTGGCCGGCACGATCGCCATGCTCGGCCTGCTGCCCGGCGTGCCCTCGCTGCCCGGCGTGCCCTCGCTGCCTGGTGTGCCCTCGCTGCCCGGCACCGCCGGCGGGCCGGACTTCCCCGGGGCATTGCCCACCCCGGCCGAAGTGGCCGGCACCGTGGCCACAGTGCCAATGACCTCCGGCGTCCTGGCTCGGGCAGCCGCCATGGGAGCGTGCTCCGGAACAGGGTCCTGCTCCGGAGACGGGGCATCCTGCAAGGGAGCGGCATGGCCCGGGCCCGGGGCCCCCCCGGCAGGAGAGACCGCCACATGCGCCTGGAGCCCGGCGGCCGAGTCGGCCGTCACCGGCTCGGGCTCGGACTCGCGGACAGACGCACTCGGCACCGGCCCCGGCGTCGAGCCGGCCGGCCCCGGCACAGAGACCAGCATGCTGCCGACCGCCGGCTCGGAAGCCACCAGGCAGCCCACGTCGGACGCCGGCATCGAAGAAGACACCCCCGTCGCCAGGGGGTCGGGCAGGGCAGGCTCCATGTCGGGCACCAGAGGCCCGGCCTCCGACACAGGCGCACCGGCGAGCAGGTCCGCTTCCTCCGTGATCCGGGTGAACTCCCCCGGTGCCGGAGCAAGCTGGTACTCGGCACGCGGCGTGTCGGATGGGTCATCCAGGGCGCACTCCGCAAAGGCCGGCCCCAGCCCCGGGGCCGCGACAATGGTGAAGGACCCGGTCAACCCATGCCCAGCCCCCCCGCTCAGGAGGAGCTCCTCGTCGGTGACCCCGGCCTCCTCTTCGTCGCTGCTGCTGCCGCTGCCGCTGCCGCTGTTGCCCAGAAGGACCGCCCCGGCCAGGGGGTGTCGCGACCGCGGCGGCGACAGAGCCCCATCAGCCAGGTCGGTCAGAGAACGCCCGACCAGCCGCGAAGGGGCCGGGGTCAGCTGGCCACCGAAGGCCGACCGGCCGCCATCCCCGGCCAGCGTCATGACCGGCGTCAGGGCCAGAGCTCGCCTGCTGGCACTGGCCACCCCGGCGGACTCCGGCCCCCGGAAGCGCGACGGGGTGATCAGCAGCGGCCCGGGAGAGCCTGCCCCCGCGGCCACCGGGCCTGCCTTCATGGCCGCCGCCCGGGGCCCAGTCACCGGGATTAGCCCGACAAGCGTGCGCCCCGACGGCGTCATGGCCCCCGGCGCGGGGGACATTAGCAGCGGCGAGAGCGGCGCCCCGCCGGCCGGCCGGCCGGAAGTCGGCGGATCGCCGGCGCTCCGATCCCACAGGACCGGCGACCGGATCAGCCGGCCCAGGCGCGCGCTCGTCGGCGACCGGATGCTCGTGGCCGAGGGGCTCCGCAGCGAATCGCTGCTGCTCTCCAGGCCCATGCCCACCGGCGATCCGGGCCCCAGTGACCCGGCCGACCCGGACAGATCTCCCCCCTCGAGGGTCAGCTCGCGGCTCCAGTAGAGCGAGCCTTTGCAGTGAGTCGGGCCCGGGGGGGGGGGGGGGGGGGGGGGGGGGGGGGGGGAGACACGGGGCAAAAGGGCAAGTTGCACCACACACACACACACACACACACGGACAATGCGTTAGACCAAGCAGCCGCGCCACACCCCAGACGCCCGATGGTCAGCCGGTGGACAGGGGCGAGGCAATACCCGGGAAACCCACCCAGCCAGGCCCGGCAAATGGAGACACGCACCGAAATCCGTCTCATGGCAGGTGGAGATGATGGCGATCATCATGCGCTGGGCCTCCCGCTCGAGCTCCTCCTCATCGAGTCCCGGCGTGTGCGAGGCATGTGGCGTGCGCGGCGTGCGCGGCAGCGCGGCCTCCTCCTCGTCCAGACACTCGAAGTGGCCGATGGCATCCGTGCTCTCGGCCAACAGCTCGATGCTCTGGAGCACCGCCGCATAACGCGTCCGACAGAAGGCCGCCATGGTGGCCGACGACCGGGGCGAAGGGAAGGACGGCAGGAGATACTCGGCATGCGTGGCCCCGGACTCGGCGCCAGCCCGGTGCATGTCATGCTCGAGCTGCGTTTGCGCGCGCGCGCGCACGGGAGAGAAAGAGAGAGAGAGGGGGAGAGAGAGAGAGAGAGAGCGCGCGCGCCGGCCGGTGGCACAACCTGCATGTCAGACAGGCGGCAAGGGCGGACAACAGGCCACACGCCATCCCCGTGGCACGCACCTTCGAACCAGCATGGTGGATGAGGAGATGCGCACACGCCAGCGACAGGGGCGTGGCCGAGCGAGGGTCGCAAAAGAAGTCCAGGCTGGTAGGCACAGGCACAAGGAGGGGGAAAATAATCGCCATGTTAGTGCCGACACTCGGGCGCAAGGAGTGCAGGGTGGCCAGGGGGCGGAGGGGGGGGGAGGAGGCATCACACGGCCCAACCCGACGCACCAGTCCAGGATGACGAACGGCGAGACCACATCAAACAGATAGAGCATGGCGTGGAACTTCACCAACGCCCCGTACGACTGGATCACGGTGAGCGAGGCGTCCTCCTCGCTGCCGGCGGGCCCGTCCTCCGGGGCCTGTATGCGTGCCATGTTAGAGTAGGTGCCATGGCCAGGAAAAGGCGGGACGAGGGGGGGGGGGGGGCACAGAGAAGCAAAGATGGAGAAGGAGAAATATATGCACTCGATCGTCAGGACCACACACACACACACAGGGAGAGAGGGGGGGGAGGCGGCGAGAGGGAAAAGGTGGCACACATGAATGCGCACCATCAGCGACACGGACTCGGTCGGCGTCGACCGGAACACCAGACAACGCAGAACGTCGAAGAAAACCACCCGCAGGACGTCGTACAGCGGCTGCGGCGTCGGCAGCGAGGGGTGGCCCTGCTGCGGGAACACCCGGCGGCTTGAAGATGCCTGTCCCCGGGGGAGCTCGGCCAGCGGGTCAAAAGCATCCGCTCGGATGGCCTGGAAGTGCATGGTCAGAAAAGGGAAACCCGGGTCGAGGCACAGTGTGTGCGCGTGGGCGCGGGCGTGTGCATGTGCATGTGCGAAGGTGTAGCTGCATGCGTGCGGCCGTGCACGCAGACCGCCCTCGAAGGACAGGACAACAGGAGGGACGTACATGGATGATCCGGTCAACCGAGGGCGAGGCCACGGTGCGCAGGCGGCCAGGCGCGCGAGCCCCATCCGGCCCGAGCAGCAGCCCAAACACATGGGCCAGCGCCTCGAGCGAGGTGATGTCGCTGGGGGGCGATCCGCCGTCCGGGGTGGCTGGCCGGTCGGCGGCCGGCTCCGCCACCACAACCACCGTTCTCCAGGCCGTGTGGTTGATGTAGTTCCCCAGAAGCAGGGACAGGTGCAGCACATCGACGAATGACACCAGCCGCGCGGCCAGATGCCGGTCAAACTGCGCCAGGAACAGGTGTCAGATCGGGTCTCGCACGGATCTCCCATCCGAAGCGCGGGCCGGGCCGGCCAGCAGGAGAAAGGCGAGCGAGGCAGCATGCGCGCACCCAGTCAGCCGCTTGATCGGTGGGAAGCTGCGCCAGCTTACCGGCGAACAGGGTAAACTGCCATCGAGGGG